GGTGATTAAACTGAGGTTTTGGAAATGTTAGGTAACTCAGCCATAGTTTTATATAATGTATTTTTACTCTCAAAACATAGGGGAGAAGGAATGTACTGTATAACACTATGAACCAATGATCACAAATCCAATAAAGGAGTGAGAGTATAGTTAGGGAACACAGAAGAGGATGGAAGAGCTGCTTTACAATATATTGCTTAAGAGAATTAGTATTTGTGTCTTCCAGAAAAAAATAGAACTATACATTAAAACATAGGTAACTTTTTTCCCTTTCTTTACCCCACCCATAGGAATACTGATCCATCCTTCCTTACTTTTCCTATGTAATCTTACAATAAACATCCATGACTAGAATCTATCTGTTCCTGGCAACTAAAAGAGCCTAATTAACCTGCTTATTATATTGAGATTATAAAAATTGCCATCCTGGGACTTCCCTAGTGGTCCAGTGATAAAGAATCCTCCTGCCAGCACTATTTACAATAGCTAGGACATGGAAGCAACCTAGATGCCCATCGATGGATAAGTGGATAAAGAAGTTGTGGTACATATACACAATGGAATATTACTCAGCTATAAAAAGGAACACATTCAAGTCAGTTCTAATGAGGTGGATGAACCTGGAGCCTATTATACAGAGTGAAGTAAGTCAGAAAGAGAAAGACAAATACTATATATATTAATGCAAATACATGGAATCTAGAAAGATGGTGCCATGATACTATTTGCAGGGCAGCAATGGAGACACAGACATAAAGAACAAACTTCTGGACACAGTCGGGGAAGGAGAGGGTGGGATAATTTGAGAGAGTAGCACTGAAACGTGTACGTTACCATATGTAAAACAGCTAGCCAGCGGGAAGGTGCTGTGTGACAGAGGGAACCCAAAGCTGGTGCTCTGTGACAACCTAGAGGGGTGGGATGGGGAGGGAGGTTCAAGAGGGAGGGAACGTATGTCTACCTGTGGCTGATTCATGTTGATGTGTGGCAGAGACCATCACGATATGGTGGAGTAATTATCCTCCAATTAAAAATAAAATAAAATTAAAAAAGAATCCACCTGCCAATGCAGGGGACATGGGTTCCACCCCTGGTCCGGGAAGATCCCACATGCCGTGGGGCAGCTGGGCCCGTGCACCACAACTATTGAGCCTGCATGCCCTAGACCCTGTGCTCTGCAAAAAGAGAAGCGACCACAATGAGAAGCCCGTGCACCACAACTAGAGAGCAGCCCCTGCTCGCCTCAACATGGGTGGCAACGAAGACTCAGTGCAGCCAATAAATAAATAAAAATAAAATGTAAAAACAATTGCCATCCTGGGTTAGATGGAGAGTCTAGAATCCGGCACTTTGTTTCTGAAATGCCACGAAGCAGGCAACGTATGGACAAGCATAATGGAAACAGTGGGCCCGGCGAAGGTGGCTGCAGCTACTCAGCTCTAGCAATCATTGTCATGGGGGATATGGGGCTCAGGATGGCCAGATCTGATCTTTCCCCAGGGAAGCCATAATTCCAGATTTTTATGTGAAATCTTCTGACTTTGAAATGTTGTCAATCACCGTACATAGTTTTAAAAACACAGTATGCATCTAACAAAACATCTCTGCAGGCCAGATTCGGTCTGACCCAGCAGCATGTGACCTCTGATCCAGAGACTTGTTGTTAAAAAAAACAAAATACTCTCATCTCCTCCCATCACAAATTATAACTTATCCCTCAAGAATTTCTCTCTCTCTCAAAGCTAAAGCATTTATGTTTTCTGTTGTCACACCCTTGGGAGGTATTATATCTCATCAATTGACTTATGGAAAAAAGCATTTCTCCTTATTGTCTTCAACCTACATCATTTGTATTTCAAAATGTAGCCATGTTCTACTAGACTAGGATTTGGTAAGTTTGCCTGCTATAATTTTCACAATCTTATAAATTTCTACCATATGCAATCTTGGCCTTCATTTATTTCTGACTGGAGAATGCTTTTCCACCTGTGGTCAATTAATTTATGGTTATTGCTATATAGTCGCCAAGTCAAGTCTGACTCTTTTGTGACCCTATGAACTATAGCCCACTGGAATTTTTATAGTCCATGGAATTTTTCCAGGCAAGAATACTGGAGTGGGTTGCCATTTCCTTCTCCAGGGGATCTTCCCAATCCAGGGATCAAACCTGTGTCTCTGCACTGGCAGGTGAATTCTTTACCACTGAGCCACCAGGGAAGCCCTGGTCAATTAATTTAGTGTTCCACAAACATTTGCTGAATGCTAGGTGCTCAAAGGATACAAAAGGACAAAGACTCTACAATTTAGTAGAATAAGAATACCAAAATATGGTGCTATCAGAGTTTAGAGGTGCAAAAGGCAGAAATTAACATTTATTGCTGGCCTGCCATAGCCAGTTTCTTCACACACAACGTCTCAAAAGATAGGTATTATTTTCCTGATAATAATTATCCTCATTTTACTGGTGACTTTAGTGAGCTCCTCAGTCATACAACCATTAAACAGCAGAGCCAGAATCTGAACCTGGTCTTTCTGGTTCTAAAATGGATGCCACATCTAATGCCACCATGATGTCCTATAGAATGAGATTAATAACCCAGCTAGGTGAAGGCCTCTCTGGGGATATATGGCTAAACTGCTCTGGCTAAACTGGAGGCAGGTAGGAGAATAAGGTATTTCAGGAAGAGAACAGGATAAAATTACAGACATAATTTAAGGCAACTCATTCAATAAGTCTAAGTAAAGTCAGTGTCAAACCCAAAAGGTTGAGGCCTATTTCTGGAGAATCTGGAATACTGGGTTGAACCTGGACTTTTCGGCAAGCTAAAACGTTCAAGAAGCAGTAGTAACATGCACAGACATGCTTTGGGAAGAATCATGTCAGTGGTAGAGTCTAGAGCTGTGCGGACCAGTACAGTAGTCACTGCTACCTGTGAAAACTTAAATTTAACTTAATTAAAATAAAATGAGGGAATTCCTTGGCAGTCCAGGGGTTAGGACTCAGCTGTTTCACTGCTGTAGCCCCGGATTCAATTCCTGGTCAGGAAAACGCTTGGCAATGCCTCATGCTCTGTGGCATGGCCAATACATAAAATGAAAACTTCAGTTCTTTAGTCACAATAGCTACATTTCAAGGGCTCAATAGCCATGTGTGGTAGGGACTAGCAACTAAACACTTCTATCCTCATAGAAAGTTCTACTGGATAGCACTGGAGACAGGAGAGACTGAGGCAAAAAGACCAGTCAGAGCCCTTTATTATTATGATAGTCTGACCGAGAGGCAGTCAAGTCACAACTCAGGGACCACAGTCTGAGCGGCTAGTAGAGGCGGGTGGAAAGCTGTCTTCAAAGGGCTTATCATGTAACTGGCTAACGGCAGCAAGGGAAAACATTTTTTAGTAATTGTTTTGTTTCCAGTAGTCATCTCCGGAATTTCCTCAGTTCCATTAGTCTTTCTTGACTTCACAGAAAACCTACTGGCTTGTTTTCTGCACTAACATGACCCTTCCCTTTAAGGTATGATGGTCAGAAGCTATTACTGACAAGTGGCAGACGCACTTTAATGTGGAGAAGATGATGCATTTCAGAAGAAGGTCATCCAAACCACACTGATGGGATAACAACGTTTCAGCTGAGACACAACACAAGAGGGACTGTCTCTTACTGATTCCTAAAATTCCCTGATGCTTCCTACCATCAGACAAAACATTCAGGTGGGTGGGCCATGATCTGAACAACTTAAGGTTTCATTTTCATATTCTACAAATGTGACATAATTTAGGGCATCTCAATTCACTACTAATTAATAGAAATTAATCTCTATAGGCCATACTTGGTCTTACAAACAACAGCATCATCTGGGAACTTGTTGGAAATGCTAATTCTCAGACCCCACCCAACAAGACACAATTAATCAGAAACTCTGAGGATGGACCAGCAGTCTGTTTTAAGAAGCCTTCCAGATGATTCTGGTACACAGTGAAGTATGAAGACCACTGTAAATGTAGCTAATTACCTTTATTCAGTCAGACAATCAGGATTAAATTTGGGGCACTGTTAATATAGGCACTTTTGACCTAGCTCCTTCATCCCCATACTATCCCTATCCATCCAGCCATCCACTGATTCTTTTACATAAGGTGCTAAAAGTATTTTAAAAGCCAAGAGTATAATATTTAAATACAACCCAATTCAACCCAATTTTCTATTACTCCAATTGATGTGAAATCCTGAAACTTAGTTTCAAGATTATCCTTTCATATGGTCAACTTTCACATTTTCTCTATAATCGTGGGAAAGTAAAATTCATTTTCAGAATTTGAAAATAAATATTTGTAATTTCATCAGAAACAACAGGCCTTTGCCCATTCTAACTATGCTTTTATGGTGGAATGTATGTGGAAAAAGAAAGGCACAAGCAAAGGGCATTGCTTTCAGTACCTTTCGGTCACTTGGTCTAGTGGCTGGGGATCAGAGGACGACCCTCAAGGAGCTGACCTCAAGGAGAGGACGACCCTCAAGGAGATGACCATCCAACACACTGCCTTTAATGCGACCTGGTGAGAGTATTACCAGTGGGCTGGTTGGAGAGACACTCGTTGGGGTTGGGATGTTGGAGAAGGAGTTGCTGCGATCTATCAACAGAACTTGAAAGGAAGAGAAAGGGGCTAAGAGAGGTGGGAGTGGGGGCTCAGTTAGAAGGAACAACAAGAACAGCAGTGAGGTCTAAAAAGCAGAAGGGGCGCAACTGGGCAGGAGGAGGAGGAGGATGGCGGCGGGGTGCGTTGATCAGGGGGAGATTCAGGCAGCAGACCAGTTCTGGGGCTTATGACTTCAGCTTCAGACCAACAAGTGTGGAAGGAGTCAGCCTGCCAAACGCACGCGCCGTCTTTCCTCATGGACTTTCAAAAGCAGGGACCGCACGGAGAGAGAAGCTCCCAGGGAGGACCGTCATTCATTCATTCCGCAAACACTGACTGAGTGCCCTCGACAAGCCTGACCCTGCGGTGACAGTGGCCCAGGGACTTCCGAGTGTAACGCGGGGGCTGGGCGGAGTGGTCCCCGCACCTAACGCCGGAGCCCGGGCCCCGCCGCCGCCACCACCGGCAGCCCCGGCCCCGGGCCCCGGGCGGCTCCCCGGGTCCCTCGGCTCACCTGGTTCCCGGGCTGCGGCGGGAGGGCGGGCGCTGGAGCCGGAGGCAGCTTTGGCCGGGCGGGCGGCGCTGTGGACGCGGACGCCGGCGGTTCCCGAGCCGTTGCGGCCGAACCCGCGGGCCTCCTTGATGCCAGGCCTCGCGCGCCGCACTTGGCGTAAGTGATTCACTCTAAGTCTCCCGACGACTCTTGGGGACAGAAGACGCAGGAGGAAACTGGAGGCTAAGACTGTCGCCGAGATCTCCAACCCCGACTGGAGGACGCTCTCCTGCCCAGCTCCTTCCCCAGGACCCCTTAACCTCCTTCGGAAGCTCAGTCCCTGTGACTATCTCTCCCTGCGCCTTGCATTCCCTCTTTGCCCAGTTGCAGTTTTCCACTTGCTTGATTACTGCAGTAATGTCTAATATATTATTCACTTTACCTATGGCTTTTAAAATATATACTTATGTCTTTATTTAGCCGCATCAGGATTTAGTTGCAGCACGTGGACCTTCCATCTTCCTAGCTGCAAGTGGGATCTAGTTCCCCCACCAGGGATCAACCCAGTCGCTCTACTTCAGGAGCATGGAGTCTGAGCCACTGGACCAACAGGAAGTCCCTACCTATACCTTTTTGTAATCTGTCTCATCCCCAGAAGGGCAGGAGTTTTTATGTCTTTCTTTAATTGCTGTATCATTGGTGCCAAAGCAATGTGGTAGATCTAGTAAGTGCTCGATAAATTTGTGTTGAAGAATTGAATGATTGCACCACTATTCACTGTAGGCTCTGTGTAGGCAGCCGCTATCTGCCTTTTAACCAATTTTCCATTAGAAGTGCCTGGTACCTAGTAGGCATTCAATATATATTTGCTGAGTGAGTGAGTGTATTGCTCATCTTTACCCTTTTGGTCACTCTCATGTCATCATCCCAATTTGTTGGATAAATACATGAATTTCTTAGAATTCCAGCTTCCAAGTTTTCTCCCTTTTATCCATGCACTCACCTTGATCCCCCACTCTTACCTCTCATATCTTTACAGCTGCATTTTTGCTCTTGCTTCCTCCTTCTACCTCCAATACTTCTTAGAAAGCTCACTATCTGCAGTTTGGCTTGGAACATTTTTAAGCAACATGTGTTCTAAGGCAAGAGAATCTAGGCTGTCACATTGAATCCAAAGAAAGCTTTCCGCAAATCACCCATGACCCTTGTTTTGGGTTTTATTTTTCCTTGAGAACTGATGATCCTGCACTGCCTCCTAAGTTGAGATCATGTTCTTGTTCATAATTTGCTCAACAAATATTTATGGAGTAACTTCTATGTTCGAGGCCCTGAGCTAGATGCTGGGGCAAGATAGGCAAAATTTGAGCACTTCAAGGGATGCATAACACAAAAGAGAATAGTCATGGATAGTGATGGGAAATGTCCTGGCTTAACCCAGCTATTTCTAAAAGAAATGACCAAGAATAAGATAGGGTCCAATTCTGCTTATTGTAACAAGTTTTAGGGTAGGAATAGGTTAATAGTGAGGTGAAGGTATGGGGTTATAATACCTTGCCCATTCTCGTTTATTATCTTGTTCAGCTTTCAGGTGGGAATGTAGGGCAGCAATTCTTTTTTGCATAAACTGGAACTAAGGTCCAAGAAAGGTCAATTGACTCGCCCAACAGGACACTGCCAGAAAACCACTGTCTGCACTGTTCTTACTCGGAGAGGCATGATTACAATTCTTAAAACCCTCTTTGCTGGAAGTTCTTCAAGGTAGGAATCAGTTTCAAGCCTTCAGGGTAAAGGTTTTAAAAATGTTTCTCCAAGGGAGATACCAAGGACTTTTCTGAACCTGGCGCACATTGTAAAAATGCAGTCTTGGCGTCCCTCTGGGACCCATCTAATCAAACTCGCTGTGCAATTTTAAGCGCCCAAGGTGCTTCTTCTGCACTTAAAAGTTTGAGAACTACTAGAAGTGTTTGGGTGGAAAAACCTCAACCTTAATTCAGGGGTAATATTTACCTTTGGGACAGGTTTCGTCAGCATTCCGAAGAGTAAGCGTATGTCCTTGAGCAGATGGGGCTGCAACGGTTTTCTGGCCGGAATCTTTCTCTTTTTTTATGCAAGTACTTCTTGGAAATTGGGGGTTTTCCGCCGAGCAGGTGCTCAGCTGCTAGTGACTACCCACCGTTCAAAGGTCTTCTGGCTCTTTTCCCAGACACCCGATTGATTTGTCACTGTCTCTTTCCAACAGGGAGCCAAGCACTTGCCCCGCCGACCACGGTGGGGCGCGCGCGGCCTGTGTCGTCTGTTCCCCGCTCCTTCCCGGGTCCGCCTTCGCGCGCTAAAGGAGAGCAATCCCTAGGAGTTCCTGCCTCTGGGGGCCAGCAGTTGCTCTCTTCTCGCGAGAATTACTTCTCCTGCGCTCTCCCTTCATCAACCCCCCTCCCCCGGGCAGGTTCCATATTGGGTAAAATCTCGGCTCGAGGAGAGGTCCGGGAGCTGCTCTCGCGAGAGCACGGCGGGAGGCTCCTGTTCGCTGGCTCTGGGAAATGCGACCACTGGAAGCTCCGCGGGCGCTGCAGCTGGAGCTGTGACCCCGCCGCGCAGCCGGGAGTCCGCCGGGTGTGGAGAGAGTGCAGGGAGAGCTGGGCGGGGCGCCAGCCCAGGGTCCCGGAGCGTGCCCCGGCCCTTAGCAGGGCTTCCCCCGCCGTCGGTGAGACGCGTCCAGCCGCTGCGGCTGACAGGGGCCGCGCGCGCGCGCGGGAGTCGTCAGGGTCGCCGCAGCCGCACCTGCGCGGGCGGCCAGCGCAGGGTTCCCCGCCCGGCCGGGCGGGCTACGAGGTCAGGGGAAGCGGGTGCGGGTGCAGGCGGGGCCCCGCAAGGGCCACCTCCTCGCCCCGCGGCCACCGCTGGAAGATGTCTCAGGAGAGGCCCACGTTCTACCGGCAGGAGCTGAACAAGACCATCTGGGAGGTGCCCGAGCGTTACCAGAACCTGTCCCCGGTGGGCTCCGGCGCCTATGGCTCCGTGTGGTGAGTGTCACCAGGCCGGGGGCCTCGCTGGGCTGGGTGGCTCCGTATGCCCCAGAGTCAGGCCTGCCCCCACGGCTCAGCAATGCACCCAGCGGCAGGAATTTTCCTTGGGGGGAGGGCATGCCAGCCCTCTTCGCACCCTGTCCTGCACTCCCTGTCCCCCTTGCAACCCCACCCTGCACGCCCACGTAGATGGTCAGCTGTGTGTAGGACGCAGGTCCACGGTGGGCGGTGGGTCATGGTGCTGGAGCCGGGCCCTGACTCGCACCCTGCGCGTTCCCTTGGCTGGGGTGGGGGGTGGGTGCTGCTACGGGGGCAGGATCACGAGTCCCTTTTCGGAGGTCTCCCTGCTGGCATCGAGCAGAAGGACTCTCTCGAGATGTGCTTGCCCTCGGAGCAGACAAACCCGGGGAGCTGCTCGGAGAAGCAGAAGGGCAAAGCTCGACTGCGGTCATCTGAACAAAACTGAAGACGAAGGGCGTTGAGTCCGGGCTTTTTTGCAAACCTCTGTAGAAATTGCATTTTGAGAAGGATTCTTTTTGAATTCGCACTTGAATTAGCAGCTATCCAGGGAGCTTAAAATACCGACTTTATCTCGGTGAGCCCTGTGCCAGCTTGAGTAGTGTGTTTCCGATTCAGTTGAAAGCGTATTTCCTTTTCGCAGAGTTGGGGGTGGTGGTAGTGCCTGCAAACACACTGCAGCTTGAGAAGCTGGCGGCCTCGCTGATTAGTCACATACCACTGCTCATTTAAGTATTGTCTGACAAAACAATTTTCTCCTTTGGAGCAAGTGAGGTTCAGATCCGTTGGACGCCCTCAGGATCAAAAAGTTATTAACAATGCTGCGCTGTATTATAAATATTTTTTAATCGTGATAACTCTTGTGAAACACTGTTTTTAAAGTCCCTTAGAGGGTTAATCTGCACTACAGAGAACTACTCTGCATACAGAGAACTTAATCTGCACTACAGCCTGAGAGGTACATAATGGTTTTCATGGGATATGGAGTATATAGCCAAGGAAGGAAGAGACACTTTTCAGCTTTAATTCACACTATGAATGTCTTTTCAATTAAACACTACTGTAAAATTTCCAGACCTCAGTCACTAACTTTTCTAACTTCTAAGGTTTTATACACTGTATTTTAGATCTTGTGTAATTTGAGAGCTGATCTGAAGCTATTTCATGTAATTCCTCTCCATGCATTATTTGCAAAGAGGTCTACAAAATTAGTTTTTTGTTTCGCGGCAGATTCCAGGCTTTTAGACTTGTTAATCTTTAAATATAATTCCTGTGTTTCTTAAAGCCCCAGCGTGAATTTCCTGTTTGGTAGAATCTTCTGGGTAATTGAGATTGTGCAATTGTGTCCAGCAACAGATCATATTGCATTTTCTTGTTCAGACTGCTTGAGTGATGTCGCTGATGGCCCTATGCTTGACATCTTTTTTCCATTTTTATAGCGTGCTGTTGATTTGCTAATTTTCGAAGATGTGTTTGGATCCTTGCTCCTTTAACAGCTCACTTGTTTACCACCAGTTTTCATTCTGGAATTGACACATTAATTTTTGTGGTACTGAATTTTTGTTTCCAATCATTATTGTTTAAACTTTAGTGGAGCATTACGAGTCAACTGCTTGCAAGGTTTCCCTATAATTGATGTGAATAACTCAGCCCTGGCACTAGAGATCCAGTGAAGTGCTGATAAAACATGAACTCCACATTTTTTAGTGCTTTATCTTTCTGGTTTATAGAAGCCATCAAAACTGACACTTGGAAGTAAGTCTGTTAAACAGGTTTTTAAAAGTAGGTAATACATTCACATTGTATGAAATGTAAAAGGCATAGAAAGACAGTGAAAAGTTTCCTTTCTCTTTCTCCAATTATACTAGTTCTTTTCTCAAGAGACAACCCCTGTTAAGTTTCTTGTGTGTCTTTCTGTGGAGGCAGTTCTGCTAAGGGTATTTAAGGTGTAACTTATAACATATTGGTGGAGAAGAATAACCAATGTTATGTGACAGTTGACCATAAACAAGTGTAGTTGATTTTGGATTGAAAATATCAGAATTTACATGCACATGTGTTATCTCATTCAGAGTAGTTATTTCAAGTTGTTCTTTCAGTCAGCAGCTTTCAGGTGTGGCAGAAAAAAAAAATGTTTTTTAATCTTCTCTTAGAATCCACTTTGGAGCCTGTGTTATTTTTCACTATCTTCATTTTTTTTGAGAGCAGATTTGATTTTAGGAAATAACAAGTTAGATTGAATCCAAATAATTTAGAGAATTTGGACTCAAGTCTGGTGAAAAAGATTAGGCAGCCAGGTTGGTGATACTGTTTGAGGTCAAATAGGAGTTGTAACCATAAAGTAATGACACAGAATTTCCTGTGTGACTTGTAGAACTGGATTGAAGTCTGTTCCAAAAAAGAATCTCTGAAAGTATTTCAAGGAATGCAATGTCACTGAAATAATGTGTCAGTTTCCTAATTTGATTGCTCTGAAGTGTGATATACTTTGATGAACACATCAAAGTAATTTAATTTTTTTTAAAAATTAAAAAAAAAATGAAGCCAATTTTCAGTGTTTTCATTTGTACTAAGTATCTAGTAAAGCAAGTGTGATAACTAATCGTGAATTAAAGATCAAGGAATCGAAATAGAAATTTGAGTATTAGAGTTTTACAAATATGCCTTTCCTTCTTAAGGGGTAAAGGGAACTAAACTGAAGCTTGCAACTTTAAGGAACTTCGTGTGCTGTCAGTGAGGGGAAATGAAGCAAAATTGTTCAAGAGTATGGTGTTGCAAAGCATTGATTTTGTGGTTTAGGGACTAAAGGGGCGGGGGAGGATCTTTGTGGTGAGTTTAAGGAAATATAAACAGGAACTTAAATGCCTTTCCTCTGGTGTATGGGTTTTCCAGACTCTTGCCTTTGATTATAGGAGGTGGTAACCATAAAAACAGGTGAGAGATCAGAATTATTCTTAAATCATATTTAATCACTTATTAAATAATATTTATTGAGTACCAACTATGGACCAGCAACTTAGCACGCACACATCTTTAGGGGCGTCCCAGGTGGTGCTAGTGGTAAAGAACCCGCCTGCCAATGCAGGAGACACAAGTTTGATCCCTGAGTGGGAAAGATCCTGTGGAGGAGGAAATGGTAAACCACTCCAATATTCTTGCCTGGAGACTCCCCATGGACAGAAGAGGCTGGTGGGCTACAGTCCATAGGAAAGAGTCGGACATGACTGAATTGATTTAGCACTCATGGACCAGAGAGCAGGCTAGGTTTCTTGAGCTAGACTGTTAAACAAGACAAAGACAGTTCATTCCCTGGTAGGGTTTATAGTGTGAGGTGAATAATAACTGCATTTTATGGATTGCTTTCTATATTCTGGGCATTGTTCTGTGCTGTTTATATTTATCATCAGTATATACCAAAACTTTGGTAAAAGAATGGCAAAATTTACTAAGAGGTCAAATCCAACATCCTAAATGCTTTGTGAAAATAAATGTAATAAAGATAAGTGAAGCTAAGTTTTCTAGTATTAATAGCCACTCATCATTTTAAATCTTTTTAAAAGTATGAGCCAGGGCACAAATCAATAAAAGAATGTCATTATAGAGTGTGCAGAGGTGACTTGAATGACTCCTAATCAGTGAGAGGGGTATGTGTGTGTGTTAGTTGCTTAGTCATGT